TGTTCACCCATGATATAAATCGTCGGTTTGGACCTGTTGAAAATCAAACATATCTGTTTAGGCTTGCGTTTGGGCGTTCATGATCAGCAAACTGGACAAAGATGCGAAGTTTTTGGAAGACCCCATTGCATAAGAAAGTCACAGCATCTGGGGACGGTTATAAATGTTGAAAGAAATAATTGGAATGGGTTTATTTGGGTATTGATTTGAAATCGTGGGTTTTCCGTACCGTCCTACGAATTTTACGGATATATATTACCCTCTAGTAAATTAACATAGACCCTGAACATAACTAATTTATAGTGGAAACTAGTCTTCCAAACTCTATCTGGCAGGGTCTATGTTAATTTACCAGCGGGTAATATATATAAATAATTAAATATATATAATATATATATTATATATTATATATTATATATTATATATTATTTATTATTTATTATTTATTATTTATTATTTATTATATATTATATTATATATATATTGTATATTGTATATTGTATATTATATATTATATATTATATATTATATATTATACATTATATATTATACATTATATATTATATATTATACATCATATATTATACATCATATATTATACATCATATATTATATAGTATATATTATATATTATATATTATATATTATATATTATAATATTATAATATTATATATTTTATATTATATATTATAATATTATAATATTATATATTATATATTATAATATTATAATATTATAATATTATAATATTATAATATTATATATTATAATATAATATTTTATTATATTCCATTCTATTTTCATTATATTCATTATAATTTCAGATTTAAATAAATAAATTGGCTATTTCTCGATTTTAATGTATTTAATTTATAAATTAATTAATCAATTAATTAATTAATTAATTATTAATATTTATAAATAAACAAATATATATAATGCGTAATTAATTGCAAAAACCTCTAAGCAAGAAAGTTAATTGGGGATTAATTTAAGTTGGGCTTGCGGAAGTGAAATTTACGTCCGCGGAAGGGTTTGCAGAAGTAGACGTTGATTGTTTAATTGCGGAAGGGCCGCGGAAAACGATTTGAGTCCCGTATTAAATTTATATTTTACATATATATATATATATTTAAGGGCTAACGCCCCTCATCGGCTCCGCCGGATTTCTCGGCCCTCCATTTCATCGCAGTGTGGGGGCTGGAAAGCTTTTGGATGGGGACCTGCTTCAGACATATATTCCTTACGTTTTTTGAAAAAAAATCATGGAATAGGAACTTTGTTGGAAATAGACGGCTTTTTTGGGGAGCAAGTGAGTGCCCGAAAGCTCCTGCCAAGGGTTTTTCCCGAAGAACTGCTGCCAATCTCAACTTGTGACTTCATGTCAAGACGCCTCTGTGCAAAGACTTCTCTGTGTAAAAGCTTTTGTGTGTAAAAGTTTCTGTGTGTAAAAATCACTTTGTGTAAAGACTTCTTTGTGTAAAAGCTTCTATGTGTGAAAGCTTCTCTGTGTGAAATGTCTGTGTAAAGATTTCACTGTGTGTAAAAGCTTCGGTGTGTAAAAACTCTCTGTGTAAAGTGTAAAGGCTTCTCTGTGTAAAAGATTCTGTGTGTAAACGCGTCTGTGAATGAAAGCTATATGTATCTGTGTAAAGACTTCTTCGTGGAACAGCTTCTGTGTGCAAAGGCTCCTAGACGTTTGTGTGCAAAAGCTCCTT